GGGGGAGCCGCTGGCAGAGACAGAGAGTGAAAGCGAGGCAGAGCTGGCTGGCTTCTCCCCTGTGGTGAGGTTCAGGAGAGGTGGAAGTGTCAAATAGAAGGCTGGGGGGGGGGCGGGGGGTAGGGTATTTCATCTGCTTTAGAGGTACTGTCTCTGAAGGCAGTGGGAGCCGAAGGTTTTGGGGTGGGCCGGGTGCTCCTGGGAAACTGTTTCCCTTGTTCCCACACTCGTGGTTCCCATCGTGTCCCCCTGCAGGTGGACGTGAAGAAAACGGCCTTGGCACTGGCCATTACAGACTCAGAGTTGTCAGATGAGGAGGCTTCTATCTTGGAAAGTGGTGGCTTCTCTGTGTCCCGGGCCACAACTCCACAGCTGACTGATGTCTCCGAGGGTATGGGCGCTCATTGTCTCTCCTGGTCTTCCCGTCGTGGGGTGCTGGTTGTGCTCTCTGCCCCCCCCAAATGTTTTCTCTGGGGAATTGACCTAATTCTATTGGGTCGTCAGAAAAGCCATGATGCATTTTTGCACAGAAAACAGAAAAATGTCATGACTTTTCTGACGACCCAGTAGTTTCAGCTTCTGAAAGACCTTAACATCTAAGGTCTGGCTTTGCTCTCTATTTCTATGTCTCGAGTTTTCATCCTTGAGCTCATGGGCTATTGTGGCCAATCAGAGCAGCAGGCCCATTCCTGACCCTTTGTTCTCTGCACAGATTTGGACCAGCAGAGCTTGCCAAGTGAGCCAGAGGAGGCCCTGAGCCGGGAGCTGGGGGAGGGAGAGGAGGCTGAGCTGGCCCCATCCGAAGACCTGCTGGGCCCCCCTCAGGCCCTCTCAAAGCAAGCCCTGGACTCAGAGGAGGAGGAAGACGTGGCAGCCAAGGAAACTCTGCTGCGACTCTCATCCCCCCTCCACTTTGTGAACACGCACTTCAATGGGGCAGAGTCCCCCCAGAAAGGAGGGACATGTTCCCCTGGAGGACCAGTGGAAACACTGGGCCCGGAGGCAGTGAGTGGCAGCCTCACTGCTCCACCCAGCACCCTGTCACCCCCACTTTGCCTTCCTGAAAGTGACCCAGTCCCCTCCCTGTCTGTGCTCCCACCTCTTCCCCAGGACTCACCCCAGTCCCTGCCTGCCCCTGAGGAAGAAGAGGCACTCCCCACTGAGGACTTTGAGTTGCTGGATCAGGGGGAGCTGGAGCAACTGAATGTAGAGCTGGGCTTGGGGCCAGAGACACCACCAAAACCCCCTGATGCTCCACTCCCTCCACCCCTGGGGTCCGACACCCATTCTCTGGTACAGTCAGACCAAGAGGCTCAGGCCATGGCAGAGCCATGAGCCCTGGAGGAGGGAGCTGCAGGCACAGTGGGGCTTCCTGGCTAGGGTGGCTCTGTTTCCTCCTTTCCCTGTTACTTTGGGGAGGGGCAGTGTGTGAGGAAGCTGGCTATTGGATGGGCGCCAGCCCGCCCCTGCCTGCCTGCCCACCCGCCTGCTGTCCCGGGCCTGGTGCAGTACCTGTGCCTAGGACTGATTTTATGTTTGTAAATAATTTTCCATTTGGGTTGGTCGATGTGAACAGGGCTAGGGAAGTCCTTCCCATGGCCTGCACTTGCCTCTCTGCCTCATCTCAGTTCTCATTCCGCGATGCCCCAAGCCCTGGTGGTCTAGCCCTTTCTTTTCCTCCTGTCCTCAGGGACCCGTGCTGCTTTGCCCTCATGTCCCACTCAGTTGTTTAGTTCAGGCACTTTATCATTTCTCTCTGTCCCACGTTCCTCTGCTTTATTTCCTTGTTCTGTCCTGTCCTGTCCTTAGCATCTTACCCCCTCCCTGCCCTCTGCTAGATCCTCCTTCCCAACAGGTACTGGCTGAGCTTTAGGAGCTCCTAGACTGGAAAGTGAAGTGTAAACCTGGGCTGATGGGTCAGGCCAGTGGTTGCATAGGCTGCTGTAGCCTGTGTAGCCTCCGCACACCCTTGCCCTTGGTCAGCCCGGCCTTTCAGGGTGCAGGACAGAGCAGGGGTCCCACAGCACGATCACTGGGGTTGGGGAGTTTTCTCTCTTGACATGAAGGGCTTCCTTCCTGTCCTGAGGAGGAAGAAGGGAACCTGTTCTCTGGGCCGTGGGTGATCCAAGTACGGTGGGACCCCTGTTAGAGTCAGGAAGTGGACAGTAGCATCTGCACAGGTGTTGTCTGGAAAAATAAAGTGTCAATTGGCTGGAACTGCTGCCTGCCTGCCTGCCTGCCTCACTGTGAGCTGCCTCCCACACTCTGTGCTTTGTCCCCTCCTCGCCTTTGCCCTCTTCACCCCAGTCTTGCTCCTGGCTGTTTATTTACCTTGGTGCAAAACAAGGCTAGAAGCAAGAATGACCCTGACAACCTGAACTTCCCCGAGCCATCTTCCTTGACGGTGTGATATGTTTAGTGAGACTTAGCATGTGTGAATAAAGTATGCAGGAGGAAACTGCCTTGTCTCCCCGTCAATAGACATTTGGGACTATAAGAGTTTTCTACCATGTTGCCTACAACTGTAACTTGTCTTTTTTTTTTTTTTTTGAGAGGTTTTTGCTTTAGGGCACGTGCGCTCGCCAGAAAGACCGAGAGAGAGAAAGCAAGAAATCAGGAGGGATGGCCACACCGCAATTCCTTCTCCTCCATTCTCCTTGGGATCTTGGGCATGAACGCACACATGCCTGGTGTGAGTTTAAGCCACCGGGTTTGGGACTTGAACCATGGTTGACTACATGGGAGTTCCACGACATAGCCATTATGCCAACTGCTAGTCCTGAGAATTATTTTATTCAACTTTAGTTACTTATTTTAATTTGACTAGAGAGGGACAGAGAGAAGGAAAGTGAGAAAGCAAGCCACAAGGTCTGGGACTCAAACTGTAGTCGGCCATGTGGGAATCCAGCATTCCTAACTACCACGCCACCTACCGGCCCCAGAGAGAATTTTTTTCTGTAAGACATGCACTCACCATAGAGACAGAGAAAGCAAGGAATCACCTCCCTGCTTCCAGTGGGGATGGCCACTCCACAATCCCTTCTCCATTCTCCTCTAGGCATCTTGGGCATGCATGCATACATGTCTGGTGTGAGTTTGTAGCTGCCAGATTTGGGACTCAAACCGCAGTCGACCATGTGAGAGTCCAGCGATGTAACCATTATGTCATCTACTGGTCTCAACACTGTCTTCTTTTTTTATTGTTGTTGTTGGAGAGGTTTTGTTTGTTTTGTTTTTGTTTTTGCTATAGGGCGAATGCGCTCGCCAGAAAGACAGAAAGTGAGAAACCACTCCTGGGGGGGATGGCCACACCACAATCCCTTCTCCATTCTCCTCTCGGGAGCTTGGGCAGGCACACGCATGCGCCCAGTGTGAGTCTAAGCCACCAGGTCCAGGACTCGAACTGTGGTCAACTACTTGGGAGTCCAGCGACATAGCCAACACTGTCTTTTTAAAGCTTCACCCAACCCATGGGCTACAGTTAACTTACTGCCCTAATACTGGGAAAGCCAAACAAGCCACAGAGGACCTGTACTCGTTTGGGGCTGAGGAGCACTGAAGAAATAGCTTGTAACACTTAAAGTGTGATTTGTGCTTAGCACTGTCGGTTTGTATATTTTTCTTCATAATTCTGAGATATATACCTTTATTAACTCCATTCTACAGACAGGTTAACTTTCCCAGAGGCCACAAGGCCAATAAATGGTAAAGCCAGCATCCAAACCCGAGCAGTTTGGCTCCTCCAACACACTGGAATAGTAAGCCAGTCCCTGACTGATACACAGAAAGGAAGATGCTCAAGGATGTGGGAAGATGGAGAACCGCTCTAACATCGCGGCTTCCCGAAGAGTGGACTCTTGGCAGTCTTTCTCTTTGAGGATGGAAAGCCCGGAACCGAGCAGATGGCCTCCTCGAGTTCCCGTTGGCCTTCAGCTGGAGGTACCATATGGCCATGCTGCCTGGCTTTTTGAGGTCGACTCCTATACCGCGTTTCTCCTGCGTGTGTGAATTTCTCCATTTATTTCGCATTTGCCTCAGACGATCTCGGTCAGCAGGTCCTATCCCGTGCCACTGAAGGGATATGAACTTAATCACCTGGAGCTTTCAGAGGAGACTGGTAAAATACAATCAACAAACAGGCAATTCAAGAAAAAATAGGATTAACCAGTCAGAAAGGTCATGTTGCCATAGGCTCTGCCTTTGATCCGTTTCCTTGTTAAATTTGCAGTTTGAGGCTAGAACCAGATGTTATAGTTGGATCAAAACATTCCCTGTAGGTTCAGAGTTCCATGAAGGCCCATTCTTGACATTCTCCCAGGTCTGATGGCTGCATATTTATGATTTTTTCCCCATTATTAGGTATCCTGACCTTTTTGTGCCATGAGAAGAAACAAAAGCTTTTCATGTACATAAAAGAAAAATGAGCAGATGTAAAACCTACAATTAGGCTAAACAAAAAGCAACTTGGGGGCTAGCCGGTGACGCAGCTAAGGCAGCTGGATCCCACATGGTTGACGGTGCAGTTGAGTGTCAGACCCAGCAGCTTGAGAAACACAGTGAGCCCCTGTGCATGCACGCTCAAAATCTCAAAAGGAAAAATGGAGAGGGGATTGTGGCATGGCCATTCCACATGGGGAGGTGGGGAGAGTGCTTTCTCATGCTTTCTCCAGTGAGTACACATACCCTGTGACAAAAATTGAAAAGAAAAAAAATCCAGAAGTACTGGGGAGTTGGCTATGAGTTCGTGCTGGGGGAGGGGGCCATGCACTTGAGTTACCTGTGTACTCAAGCAGCTAATGGTGTAGCGTGCTGTGTTAATAGATGTGCAGTGTCCAAAACAAGGAGAGCAATACTTCTAGTATGCTTGCCTGCGTTAGTACTGCCAGAAGGTGACTTGCTGTGCTGTGGACAAACTGAGATTGCCGTGTGCCCAACAGAAGACTGATAGAGACGGAGGCTGAGTGTCATCATTTGAGGAACCGTGGAAGGAATTGGGAATGTTCAGTCCAAGACCAGCATCGACTTGGCCTTTGTTAGCTGCCTTCAAACTTTGTAGGACCTCAAAGGGTCGAAATGAAATCTTTAAGTTGAATTTGATAATAGTACTTGGTAGAATTTTGTTTTCTGGTCAAAAGATAATGGCAAAACAGTAGATTTAAATGATTTTTTAAACTATTGGACCAGCCACGTTGTGTAGTGGTGAAGGCAACTGGATCCCTCATGGCTGACTGCACAGTTTAAGTCCTGGACTTGGCAACTTTCGAAACACACTGAGTACATGTGCATGTGTGCCCAAACTCCCAGTGGGAAATGGAGAAGGGATTGTGGCATGGTCGTTTTCCCTGGGGAATGCTTTCTCACTTTCCCTCTGTCTCCCTCTAGTGAGTGCACGTTCCCTACAGCCAAAATAATACAACAACAACAACAAAAAAGTACAGTGACTGGGCTGGCTTCACCGCAGCCTGGTGGTTAAAGCAGCTGGGTCCCACATGGTGTCCCGTACAGATCAAGTCTGACCCGGAGGCTTGAGAAATCTACCAGGCACATGTGCATATGTGCCCAAAATCCCCAAAAGAGGGCAAGCTGGAGGACAAGGGATTGTAGCATGGCTATTCCCCAGGGCGGATGCTTTCTCTTCTCCCTCTTTCTCCGGCAAGAGTACATGCCCTCTAGGGAAAAGAACAATACATCCATCAAGGGCAGGAATCCCATGAATAATTCTGTTGGGAAAAGGCCATGTTTCACCACGCTTTGTTTTTAGTGTCCCACTGATGTCTGCTTTGGCTTCTCTTCCTCCACCAGCACCCTTAAATGTTGGTACTTCACTGGGTGTCACTGGCTTGGTCTTCTCTGTACTCCACTCACTCATCCTGGCAACCCCACCGTTCACTCGTTCAGATCGCACTCAAATGTGCATGGCCTATCAGCGCGGCTCCTTTCCCAGCACTTGCATCTAAGTCTTCCCACTCGAATGTCTCACAGGTACCTTCTCAGCATACCAAAAACGGAGCACACCACTCTGCACCCAGTCCCACGCCTCTCCTAAACACAGGGCCTTTGCCGTGTTTTCCATCTTGCTTGCTGGTGCCGCCAACCACACCACTGATCACCAGCTGCTGTCAGTTGGGTATCCTGATGATTTCTTCGCTCTGTCACCATCACAGCCCTGACTCACATCCTCTCATCTCTCCTCAGCCCACCTTGATGGTGTTCCTGCCCATATTTCTGTCTTCTCTCTGAAATTCAGGCCCAAGGAAATGACTAGATTATCTTTTTTTTTGGGGGGGGGGGGGGAGGGAGGTTTTTTTGTTACAGGGCGTGTGCGCTCACCAGACAGAGAGAGACAGAGAGATAGAAAGTGAGAAATCACCCCCCAGGGGGGATGGCCATGCCGCAATCCCTTCTCCTCCATTCTCCTCTCGGGATCTTGGGCACGCACGCACACGCGTCCGGCGTGAGTTCTAAGCCACGGGGTCCAGGACACGAACCGCGGTCGACTACGTGGGAGTCCAGCGACATAGCCATTACGCTAACTGCTGGTTCCCATGACTAGATTATCTTAAAATACATGTTTCATGGCTTTTCTGCTATTTGGTATTAAAGACTCTCCTCCTTAGATATACATTTAGGCTCCGCGATACAGTTAACAAGTCTGCTAAGATAGGATCCTGACAGCCTTGCTCTTCTTTCTCCTGTCCTGTCCTATTCTTTTCTTCTCTTCTCTTTTCTTTCTTTTTTCTTTATTTTTTCTGTGCACTAGAGAGACAGAGAAGCAGAGAGAGCACTCCCAACAGGGTCTTGATGCCATAATCCACCTCCGGCTTCAGCCCTGGATCATGGACACATGTGCACCCAGTGACCTCAGGGAGGCCTGGATGCAAACCCAGAACCTTGCTTTGTGGGTGAGCCTCACAGAGAGTCACATTTTACCATTGTGCCACCATCGGGCCCTGTTGCTGTTATAGTACTGCAACACCAGACCCCAAACAGCTTGCCTTCCCTTGGCTCGTCTGTGCTGCCCTCTGCACCCCTCTATGCTCACATGCCCTATCCCTCCACTTGGCAAGCGTTTCCTTTATCCTTTTTTTTTTTTTAAAGAGATTTTTGCTATAGGGCATATGCACTCAGCAGAGAGACAGAGACATAAAGTGAGAAATCACCCCCCCCCCCGGGGGGATGGCCACACAGCAATGCCGTTCTCCTCCATTCTCCTCTTGGGATTCTGAGCATGCACGTACATGCGCCTGGCATGAGTCTCAGGCCTCTGGGTCTGGGACTCAAACCATGGTCAGCCATGTGGGAGTTCAGTGATGTAACTATCACACACCATCTGCTAGTCCCTCATTTATCTTCTACGATATACTTCGGGGTGGGAGGGCAGGTGGCATAGTGGTTAAAGGCACCGGATTCCCACATGGCTGACCGTGGTTCAAGTCCCGGACTTAGCGACTTGCTTTCTCA